TGTACACTTTCTGGGACCTACTGGTAAAAACTCAGGACGTCCTAAGACTCAGAATAAGGTTAAAGAAAATTATAAATGTAATATTTTTTGTCCTTTTGCTCACATGTCTCCTTCCAAAGGACAAATGTTTCAACAGAGTAAGCTGAAAGCATTTTCAGTAAACTGATGCTTCCATGGTCTGAGGTAAGTAGTTTGGGTGAACAAGACAAAGTGGACATTGTTTAGAAAGGCCTGATGGGAACGAACAGGCAGTTTTCAGGTCAGGGAGAGCAGATGCAGAAAGGGGCTTGTTTGAAAAACATGTGGCCTCTCCCCACGACCACTCAGCTGATCGCCCGTGAGTAAGCCTCGGCCACTTGCTCTGAAAACCCTGAACCCAGAGAGCAGCCATGAAGCCCTTGGTCCTTTTTGTTGGTGTTGGCTAAATTTATTTCTTCCCCTCAAATATTTTTGCTGGGAACAAGCAATCAAGACCAACGAGAAGGCAGCATCAGGTGGAGGAAAACAGACGGAGCGCTGTGAAAATATTTTCAAGGGTCAGCGTATACCTGGGGCCACGCTGTCTCCATCAGTGACCCCTAAGGCATTTCACTATGTCCTGCTGTGCTGTTTTGCGCTTGTTCTCTCATTTCTTAGCAGGAGGAGCCCTGTGAGTCTCACTCTGCCAGAAAACACACATGCTTCGTTTCGCAAGCCCAACAATTCCAATTATATTGGATTTCTTTCGCCTCTTGATCCTCAGAATGTGGTGTGTGGACGGGCATGGGTGCCGCTGGGGAGCTTGTGAGAAATGCCCCTCCCCAGGCCTCGGAGCCAGAACCCACACTCCTGCAGCCCTGCTGGCCTCAGGGGCACGCGGGGGTCGCGGCCCGGGCTGCACATCGGACTCATCTGTGAAGCTTGAGAGTCCAGATGCAGGGGTCACCGTGAAGTGCCCTGCTTGCCTGGAGGCTCTTGAATGTTTTCGAGAACATTTCCTGGGAGGCGCAGGGCTACCTTTTCCCAGGAGAAGAGAACCTTACCACTGCCACTCAGCATTCGTTTGGTCAGCAGTGACAGATGACTCCCCAAAATCCCTCCTCCATTTTCCATTTCCCATGATGCCCTTGGGAAGGGTAGTCTCTGCCTGGTTTTTCTTACCATTTATATTTCTTCTGTAAGATAAAGGCAACAGAAGGGGGAAAAAAGATCTTAATGATGATTTTGTTGTATCTGCAACAAAAAAAAGGTCTCCTCATGAACTTGAGGAGCCCGGACCCTTTTCCCTGCTCGCCAACCTGCCACGTTGCCTGGAAACAGCTCAAGAACCCTGGCATCGGGCTTGCCTAGTCCATTCCTTGCTGTATCACGGGCAATTATGTGCTTCTAAAACGAACCTCTGACTTTCCGGTGTCCATTTCCCAATATATCTACCGTGATTTACATTTTATGATGGTCTGCCCACAGAGGTGGACATAAACATGTGCAGAGCATAGCAAATAATTACAAAGCTAGCATCCCCATAGCTGCCACCCAAGGGAAGACAAAGTATTTCCAGGGCCCAGGAGCATCCCCTGCCCACACCCTTCAAGTTCTTCAAGACCCCCACCCCCAGAGAGCACCATCATCCTATGAGTTAAGCAGACGATTTCCTAGTTTTCCTTTCTGATTTTACTATCTATCCATGTAGCCTACAAAATGTAGCTTGGTTTTGGACTTTAAAGAAATGGAATCATAATGTCTGTCGTTTTGCATTTTACTTTTTTGTTTGACGTGATTTTTGTGGGACACATCCATGTCGTGGATAGCTATCGTGTGTGCTGTCATTGCTGTTAACAGTTGATTTGATGATTATAGCATATGGAGATTTTCATCAGGCAGACTTCGTGTGATTCAGCCTAATGGCTTTGTTGAGATTTTCTTATTGTATAGTGTGTGGCCAATTTTCACAAATATTCTGAATGTGCTTAAAATGAAAGTGGACACTGCACTTTGATGCCAGTGCCTTGTCTGTTGGGTCAAATCTGATTGTGGATGTCTCTATTTCCCTTTTTAATGGTGTCAATTTTTATTTTATGCAACTTGAAGTTATAAAGGGCGCTCATTTTAAATCCTGGAGGATTAAAACTTTAATAGAGGATGCTGTTTCTAGTAGTGTTAAATTCTTTTAAATTATTTACCTATAGGTTGTTAATATTGTCTACATGCACAATCATGTCATCTATGGATAATGAGTCTCCTTCCACGCAATGGCTGTGATCCAGCAGTGGCACTCCTCAAGATACCTGTCACCTCCAGAAGATCCACACAAGCTGTTTATGGCGGCACTCTTTATAAGTAGCCCAGGACAACCCCAAATGTCCAGCAACAGTTGGATGAATCAATGAGTTGTGGAATATTCACATGAGGGAATACTATATAGCAATTGCTATAAAGCAATTGCAACATACATTAAGAGACAAATCTCACATAATGTTGAAAGAAGCTGGACATAAAAGCATGTATATTGCATGAATCCATGTATAAAAAGTTCAAAAACATCAAGATGAATCTCAGGTACAAGTAAGCAGGAGAGTGGATACCCTAGGGGGTATTTTGGTATTTTGAGAGGCACACAGGAAGCCTCTGAGCGGCAGATAATGGGTAATCCTTTACCTGGATGTTAAAGGCAGTGTTTACTTACAAAAATTTTATGCTGTGTGCATTTTGCTGTGTTTTACTTCAATTAAAAAAATCCAGATTCAATCACACTTATCCTTTGAGGTTCTACTGATGAGATTTTATGATTCTTTTTACTATTGCAACCTTTATAGATGTATTTTTATACATCCATGGTTAAACACCAATAGTGAAACTGGCACAATTTTAAATTTGTATAGATGCACTTTAATAACTCATCAAAATTGTATTAGTTTACAACACTCTACTCTTCCAGTCACTGAGTGATCCTTTGAAATGTCAGATTTTATCATTCCAAGGCTCACAACATTTTCTTCAGAGTAAAATCTTGAATCGCTCCAGTGGCCCCCAAAGCCGACATGATGTAGCCACATGGCCCCAAGGAGTGTGACTGCTGGATTGTTACATCACACGTATGCTTAGCTTTGAAAAGCTCCTGAATTGTCTTCCAGTGACTGTAACATTTTCCATTCCCAGTAGTGGATGAGAGTTCCTGTTGCTCCACATTTTTGTCAGCATTTGGTGGTGCTGGTATTTTGGACTAATAGCTGTGTAGTAATATCTTATTTTAATTTGTATTTCCTGGATGACATGATAAATAGCATGTTTTTATATGCTCCTTTGCCACGTGTATATCTGCTTTGGTGAGGTGTCTGTTAAGATGTTTGGCCCATTTTTAAATTAGGTTGTTTGTTTTCTTATTGATGAGTTTTAAGATTTCTTTGTATTTATTTTGGATAAGTCCCTTTTCAGATGTGTCTTTTGCAAATATTTCCTTCTAGTTTGTGGTTTGTCTTTTCATTTGCTTGACATTATCTTTTGCAGAGCAGAAGTTTTGATTTTAATGAAGACCAGCTTCTCAATTGTTTCTTTCATGGCTTATTCCTTTGGTGTTATATCTAAAATATCACCACTATACCTCAGGTCATCCAGATTCACTCTTGTTATTTCCTGGTTTATTATTTTACAGTAAGGTCTATGATCCATTTGGAGTTAATTTTTGTGAAGAGTGAAGTTTATGCTAGATTCATTTTGTTCTTTTGCATGTGGATGTTCAGTTATTTCAGCATCATTTGTTGAAAAAACTGTCTTAGCTCCATTGTATTGCTGTTGCTCCATTGTATTGCTGTGTCAAAGATCAGTTGACTGTTAATATGTGGGTCTGTTTCTGGGTTGTCTACTCTGTTCCATGATCTACTTGTCTATTCTCCTTGCCAATACCACAGTGTCTTGATTAATAAAGTTTTATAGTACTTCTTAATATCAACTTGTGTCAGTCTTCTAACATTTTTTTCTACTGTTGTATAGGCTATTCTGGATTTTTTGCCCGTCCAAATAAACTTTACAATCAGTTTGTCGGTATCTAGAAAGTAACTTCCTGGGCTTTTTAAAAATCTGATCAAGTTGGGGGGGACCAGCATCTTGACAACAGTGAGTCTTCCCATACACAAACATGGACTATCTCCCAATTTATTTATTTATTTTTAAATTAAATTTCTTTCATAAAAGTTTCCTTGTATATATCCTGTACATATTGTTATATTTGTACCTAAGTACTTCATTTTGGGGGTGTGAATATAAATATTATATTTTTAATTTCAAGTTCTACTTGCTCATCGCTGGTAAACAGCAAAGATTAACATTTGTATATTAACCTTGTATCTTGAAATCTTGTTATAATCATTTAATAGTTTTAGGATTTCTCTCTCACCTTTTCTGCAATCATGTCACTTATGTACAAATATAGTTCTATTTCTTCCTTCCTAATCAGTGTGCCTTTTATTTCCTCTTCTTATCTTATAGCATTAGCTAGAATTTCCAGCACAATATTGAAAAGGAATGGTGAGAGGGGACACTCTTACCCTGATATGAAAGGTTTGGGTAAGTAAGGGGGATGGATCCTCTTAACTCTTGGCAATGCCCACTAGAGGATACTCATTGCAGAAGATGCTGTGCAACTAGGTGGAAGAATGACTTGCCCATAAATGTCAGTCAGCCTCTGCCCTCACTTCTTCAGTACCTGCACAATAAACCCATAAATGAAGTAGTTATGCTGGTGGGATGGAGGCTGTGCCTGGATCCCACAGCATGGACTTTATAACAATGGCTCACTGAACTGTTGATGAATGCCCAAATGTGGCAGCAGGAATTTGCACTGAGCCCTTGATACACTGCTATCATTCTAGAACAGTCAAGTGTTACCAGTGATTATATTGGGTCTCTTTTACTCTGGAAGGAGCAGTGATTCATCTTTATTAGAACTGACATGCATTTCAAGCATGGGTTTTACCTGACCTGTCCATTCTGCTTCTGCCAGTACCACTTTTTTTTTTTCCCATAAATAGGGGAGAGCAGGAATGCAGTCCCTCATTACCACAAATTACACAGTTGAGTTTCCTACATTTGGGGAATCTCAGGGTTCAGCAAAACCAGAGTGCAATGGGGGAGCCTCACCCTGGGAAAACCACATTCTTGATCATTATCTCCCCTACCAGGTAAGTGTTGCCAGCACCATGTATCTGAGGGCTCATATGGGATCCTGACTACATCATCTCAAAGATGTTAGTTTCTCTCTCACCTGAGAGGGGGAGGTCTGGTTGATCTTGCTAGGAAAGCAATGTTAACCAGAAAAAATGCTGGCTGAGGTGAGGGAAAATTAGTAGTGCCTCAAGGTCCCCAGTAGGATTTAGCCCCTCACTGTCTTAATTCCTTAGTATCCCACAGGAGTTCCTGGAATCACAACATGCACTGAATGGTAGGATCTGCTTATGGGACAACCCAAGTAAGCCCCTTTGCAGCAGGGCTAGCATGTGGTCCTTCCCATGCACCTAGCTGAAATCCTGATATGTTTCTCCCACTGTTAAAGGACACACGAGTTTGGTCTGCTATGCTATTTCTTGCTAGGGAGACACATGCTGACCCTTGGTGATTAGTTTCTTTTCTAATTGCTCATGAAAATCCATTTAATAAGCTATTAATTCAATAGTAGGCTCATTGTTATATATTTTTTAAAAATATGAAGCATTTTCTGAGACAGGAGCGATCCCCTGACAGAGACAGAGGGACAGGACTCATGGACAGAACTTTGCTGCCCCATCATCTTTATTGGGCTGGTAGATAAGAGATTAAATAAATCTGACTCTAGGCTCAGGTACCTGCTTGCCATAAATTTTCTCCACCCATAGTGTTTTGTACTAATCTCCACCCCCCCCACCCCCCCCCCCACCCCCCCCCCCCCCCCCCCCCCCGCCGCCCACCGCCCCGCCCGCCCCAGCCTGTGTATTCCTGAGCTATCTCTTTACAGCTTATCAAGTTAGCCTGTCAAAGAAGGGAGCAACAGACCTGAGACCAGACCAGGTCAAAGCGGAGCTGCGGGCACAGTTTCCATGAGACATTACCCGCGAGATGGCCATGAGCCCGCAGCCCTCTGAGCTCAGCTGAGGGGTGCTCATGCTTAGCAACAAGATGGACCACACCCAGATGGACAAATGGACTTCAGCCAAGTCCATTCTCCTTACTTTCTGAGCCAATGAAGTTTAATTCCTTTGCTCTCAAACACTATATAGACCCCAAGCCCTGGCAGCTCAGAGTCTCTCATGCCCAGAGATGTCCCCAGGGAGCTCTTTCTTGCTCTCTGAAAGTGGTTTGAAAATTATTTGGTTTAAATACTATTGTCTAAATACTACATTTTATGTAAATACTAATACTTCACTGAGATGGGTTTTGTTTCTAGAAGACTTATGTGACCGAAATCATGTCTCTAATGGCCAAGCTTTAGAATATAAGGATTTACAAATAAGCAGAAGGAAACCATTAATACTAAATGTTTACAATCCAATATATATAAAATCACCAATGTATATGAAAGTGATATAAAAGGAATGTTTACATGTGAACATTTCTCTGGACCCTTTTTAGTTGATCAGAGTGATAATAACAAATAGCAAAGAATTCATCAAATAGGATTACAATTCAATGTAGAGCATGTTTTCCTTGTAGAGTGACATACGACACAACAGGTGCTCAGAAACATTTATTTGCTATAGACTCAGCATGTCATATATAATAAAAAATGAACACTTAAATGTTGAACAGGAAAAATAACAAAAATCCTTTATATTTTACTTTTGTCCACAAATGCTTTAAGTCATAGCTTAGAGGGAGCCTTGTATTTTTAAGGGGAACCAAGGCTCCACTACAAAAGCCACCAATGCCCAGACTGTCTGTCCAGTTAGCATACTGACAGCGCCTCCAAGGCTGGAGCCACCATTCTTAGAGACCTAAAATATATAGACATACCTACAATAAAAGGATTTTTTTTCTCTGTTAAATGAGATAAATCTTCAATCTACTCAAAAAATAAAAATTTAAAGCTCATACATGAAGACATAAATTAAAAACAAAACATACGGTGATGAAACTAGAACACAAGATGTATTTTGTATATGAAAGAATCATCATGTTGATTTATGCCAACGGTTATTATATTTGTTTAATCTTGTATAGTTAGGTTTTCAGGTTTCAGAAATCTTTCAGAATGTTTACTGAACTGGAACACATTATAAAGAATATTTTAAAATTGCTATCAAAGACAGTAAGTTGAAATTCTAATCAGGAATAGAGGTTTCCCAACATACCTTCCTCTGTCCCTATGAGCAGCAAACTAAGAAAAGTGTAGGGAGAAAATAATTAAATGTCTGAAGGATACACTAGCCATTTAATCAAGAGTGCAGTTCTGAATTTTACAGAATATCCTCGTCCATAAATATGTATCAGGTTTCTGGACAGTATCACATTTGCACTAAAGAAACATGGGGTCAGACCAGAATCCTCAGTGAATGTTCTCGAAGGACACAGAAGCTAATTTGTGACCTCGGTAGTGAGAGGTAGGTGAAGAAAGAATATGCAGTACATGTTGGCTTATTGGATTTCCCCCCTCCTTTCTGTGAGTCATTCATCCTTTAAAGACCGTCTTCTCTGTTCTTTTAGGGAGAAATTATCTTAGCCTTTATCATTTGTTCCTTCAATATTTTAACATAAAGACTACAAAAAAAATCCCAACAAATTCAAGGCTAATATTAAAAGCTTGAGTGAAAATAAGGAGCCTTACCCTCTAATCAGTAAACTCTTCTCTGGAAATAAAATCTTCCTTTGCGTAAGTGGAGTGACCTATCCTAGTAGACACCATTTAGGGTTTGACATTCCCCTATCCTATCCTAATAGACCTATCCTAGTAGACCTCATTTGGGGGTTGACATTCTACTTTTGAGAGCAGGAATAGCTACTTAATAAATAACATATTACAAGTAAGCCTTCATTCTGAGGCACTTGCTGCTTTCTGGATTTCATTTATCCTTATAGGATTTTGTTGTGTTACACGGCTGCAAATATGATACTCAATATCTAATGATTTACCCATAATCACTCAGGAAAAAGCAGAATCAATGGAAATTGAAACAAAACTTTCTGAAAATGGAATTACTATATATGCATAAAAATAAACTATAACCAAAAGTTGAGTCTGAGAACTGGTGACTGATTATATGTTGAATGTAAGTCTTTTAAAGAATGCTCTTATTTAATTAAAAAGAATATTCTGGAAAGTAACATAAAGGTTATTGTAAATTCAGTACTTTCTGGATCTGACTTCTCCATCAGATGGATGGATTTGACTTCTCCATCAGAAATACAGACTGGTGGTAAGTTGTGCTGCAAAAAGTTTCTGGGCCTCCTCTGATAAACATGGCATTTGTATAGAAACAGAGGAAGTTAAGTGAATCCTCACGTTCACTGTTAATTTTCCTAATAATTAATAAAAATGTTGCCTGTAAGAGGTGGTATTCACATTTTCAGTAAATTAATACTTTTTAGATGATCAAATAGAGAAAATTAATTTAGATTTTATTTTTAAAAATAGGGCTTTTTAAATAATAACTGTCTTTAATAATTATTTAATGTTTACCCTGGGGAATGCACAAGGATAGATGTTTAATATTCATTAAAAAGGTATAGTCTTTATACCAGTGCAAAAGGCTATGACTCTTCTTTCCACTCTGAAAATCTCTTCTTTGCTATGAAGAATTGTCTCTGCAGAGGAACTAAGATGGGGCACTTGGCAGAGAGGGGTTTGGGATGACTGGCCAGAATCAGTATGTTTTCTTCTCAATTAGGCAACTGAAAATAGGAACTTTAGTTCTAAATATTAGAAGCAATGTCTAAATATTAGAAAAATAAAGAGTGAATATAACAAACTGCTTCGAAATACATGCCTGAAGTTGAAAAACAGCTTGTATTTCATGTTGTGCAGCTTCCAGGTGAAATCAACTTTTTTAATCTTCAGGTTCATATCTGGGAAGACAGAAATTCAGAACACAATGTCATGATACTTTTTGTTGCTGCTGCTACCAAATGAATTTTACCTGAAACATCTCCGATGTTAACTATCAATGTTGCCCATTTCACCTAAAACCACTGCTCTTGTGGAAGTCAGATACATCCAAGGCGTATGCTGGTGACCTAGAGAGGATCCCTGCAGCAGGTGGGAGAGCAGAAGACAGCTGGGACACCTTCAGACCATGTCTCTAGTGGGCATTTAGTTCCGGGATAGCTTGGTAAGAAATTCAGTAACTATCCAGATTGTCACAAACACCTTATATATGAGTAAAGGGTTAACAAACCCACTTCTCTAAGGATAAATTTGATCGTGATCCTAGGTCTGTTCAAGAACCTTGATGAAGGCATGTCAGCTAGTTCCCAGCCAAAAACCATTGATGACAAAAATGACTGATTGATAGACTGTATCTGAATCAGGAAGACTTAAAAAACTTTAACTACGTGGTGGGATCTATGGATTTAGGCTTCCCTCTGGGCAGTGAGTTCTTATGACTGGCCATGTCCTCATGTGGGCAGTATGTGGCCACACAGAGGTAGCGGCATACATGGAATAGGACTTCTAGGCCACACTGGCTACGGCACTGGCCTTTGTGAATCTCATTCTCTCAAACCTTGAGGGCACAGCATGACTGGGTGTTGACTCCTGCCAGGTTACCACCACCAAGGAGAAATGCCTAGTGCTGCCCTTCGAGTTTGCTGTAATTCTCATTCAATATCCTGTTAAGTAAACCCTTTGCCCAGAGCAATGTATTGTAGTTATGTGTAGCTGAACCTAAAAAGAAGCCCTGTGGGTGTTGCCAACGAGGCTGGGCCAGCGCTCTCCTGCTTTTCGTAAATGCAGACTTCTGGACATGACAGAGCAACCACCTGCTGGCCTGACCTCTCTGGACACACGCTTAGATTTAATGAGAAACAAACACCAGCCCAGTGGGGAGAAAAATCTGAGAGGCATGATCAGCATGGCTTACTTTGCCAGTCTCTTTCTCAGGTCTTTGATTTGGTCATTCTTCTTGGTGAGAATCTCTTTCATGTTTCGATAAGCTGCTGTTTGTTGGAATTTCTTCTCTAATTCCTATGTAGTGAAAAAAATAGTCAGCCCATTACTAAGAAATAGTTAAGGAAAGAAAGAACAATTTTGATGAAAATGTATATTTTTACTCTAATTTTATTAATATTCTGCTTATATTTTCTAATTTCTTTTAAAAATCTACTTATATAAAATCAAGACTATCAAAGAATATTCATTCAAATGAGAAGCCAATAAAACAGTAACATTTTCCCAAGTAAAGTGTTAGCAAATAACTCCCAACAGACTATTCCTTAGATACAGGAAATCTACTTGACATAGTAAATTGATTTTTAGGTCAAATTCGCATATATTTTACTGAAATTCAAAGTAATATGCCTTGGAAAAGGATTTTTAATTAAAATTTTAGTGCCCATGTTCGTAAGAATCTAATCCCTAAAGCAAGAACTCAGTTCTCAACATACTTCATATAAATTAAGAACATGGCATATAATACTGTAAGAAAAAGCCACCTACCTCTTTGGCAGGCCGGAGGAGAGACAAGCAGGCAGTGCAAATGGGGGTGCAGGGCAGCGGATATAAACCATCTATGGAGGGACATTGTACCACAGCCAGGAAGGAATGGGCATTTTTGTGTTTTTAATGATCACAGATATCTTAGTTCCAAAAATGGAAAAGTCCCAGGGCCCAGAAATGATAAATCTTTCTGACATACACCTTGAGAAAAGGTAAGGTGAACCTGCATTTCCCTGTGACACCTGATCCTCTCTCTTTTCTGTATCCCTTAATTGGACAGGAAAACACAAGTCTGACCTTTTCAGCCATGCTCAGCTGGTCCTGAACCCTGAGTAGGTCGTGCTTAGCTGTTGCTAAATTCTCCTCCAGGGACTTCTGGTTTTGTGTCTTGTCATTAAGTGTCTTCTGAAACTCACTCTTTAGAGCAGCAACTGTATTTTCCAAGTGACTCAAGTCTTGAGCTTGTACAGAATCCTATAAGGAACATATGTCAACATAATTTCACGTTGGCATCCTGGATAGTAACTGTTTGAGCATGGTGACTCAGTTTTACAGGAGATATAAACAAACACTGTGTACTAGTGTGCACACCGGCCTCCCTCATCAGCCTGGGTGAGCACCAGGTCTTCGAGGGTCGCCACACTCCCAGTTGCCCCTCAGTTCTCTGTGCTGGGTGCCCTGCACACAGCAGACACCAGTGTGACTTAGGAACTGCTAGAGATGAGATCCTAAATCCCACAAGGCTGTGTGTCCCCGAGTTGGGATGACAAGTAGGTTTCATTTTAAAAAGTCAAGTTAAAAAAAAAAATTCTGGTAGAGAATTCTGAATGATAAAAATAATAAAATTATTGGGTTGTCAGGGAAGTCATGACATTTTTCTTTGAAAAAATGAAAAACAGAAAAAAATGCATCATGAGTTTTCTGACAACCCAATAATAAAGTTTATATCAAATAGTACATATTTAATCATTATTTATAATCAACTATTATGAGATCCTAAGCAATGCTTACTGATTACATGGACTGCTAACTTGGTAAAATTTGAAGTTTTGTATATTTGTGTGATATGCACATCTGTGCACTTTGTCAGCAGAGATAAGCAACTGGATATTCAGTCTACCCAAATCTTGTTTTTAACCTGATAAAATTTGTAAAAGGAAAACAGGACTGTATTAATAAGAAAGGAAAATGGTCTATAATTATTCAATATGAGAATGAAGCTATTTACAACAGAAAAATTCCTTACTCCTCTTTGGCAATCTGGTCTTTAAAAACGATTTTACTTCACCGCAACTAGTGTAGGCATGTATCATTTTGTTTTTCCAGAATTTTAAAAGTAAAACTGGAGCAAAATCCAAAATGGCTTTTAAAACAAATTCATCATCTAAAATGTTTGCAATTAAACTGGTCTAACCACTTTAGAAAGCTGTGTGGAGGACCCTCAAATTACTAAAAATGAATCTACTCCATGACCCAGCAATTCCACACCTAGGTATCTACTTAAAGGATGCAAAAACATTAATTTGAAAGGAAATCTGCACCCCTATATTTATTGCAGTGCTATTTATAATAGCCAAGATATGGAAACAACCTAAATGCCCCAAAACAGAAGAATGGGTCAAGAAGATGTAGCATATATACACAATGGACTACTACTCAGCAATCCAAAAAGATAAACTCATGCCATTTACAACAACATGGATGGAGCTGGAAGGGATTTTGCTCAGTGAAATAAGGCAGAAGGAAAAAGAAAAATATCAAATGATATCATTTATAGGAGGAATATAGAGAAACTCAACAAAGGGTCAAAAAAAAAAAAAACAAAAAAAAAAACCAAAAAGACAAAACTTGTAGGCAATTATAGATCTGAGGCTATTCTAGTCTTTCTATTTTTGTATGTTTCAAATTTTCCATAGAAAAAGTATAACAACAGCCTAATGAAGTAGGCATGGGGATTGTTTAGTACACATTTCCAACCATAATGTAACTGTAGAAAAGCCAGGGCTGCACTGAAAATTCCTTGAATGAATGAGTGGGTGGGCTGCCGTAAAATCCTATCGCAATGCCCACGCCCAGATCACAGGGCTCTCTGGAAGGGCTGGGGAGGCAGAGCTGTGCACTGGTGGCTGGCAGCAGGTGGGGCCACCTCAGCCTTTCTACTAAGACCAGCCCAGAGAAGGGGGACACTGGATTTCATTGTGACACAAAAGTGCCACTGGATATGGATGGCTTTGAAGATTCACGACCAATAAATTCATTCCACTTTGTCACACTGAGTGAAGGAAAGCTTAATAATGAGAATTGTATTATAAAGCCCAGCTACAAATGCAATGAACTAAAAGCTCTTCCTGTCTCCAGTACCTTTTTCCCCATTATAACTGGGATGTCAAAGTGAAAGGGGGAAAAAACTTGAAAAATAAATGTAAGAGTCTCTGGGGAGGGGAGGCAGGTGAGCTGCCGGTTTGACAGAGGGGAGGGCCCGGCTCTCCCCTGGCTTTTCCTAGACAAGGATGCAGGACAACAGGGCCAACCCTCTCAAGGAGTGGTGGGGAGGGGCACAGCAAACAGTAGTTAAGACTTGATATTAAGAATAGAACTTTATTCTATTTAGAAAATGTAAAAAAGATAGCAAAAACTTCTTTTACCTTTGGGTCTCCTTGATCAAGCTGTAAGTCCCGCAGAGCTTTTTCCAGCTTTGACTTCTCATCCAGTGCACTGGTAGCCTGTGATGGAGTTTACACAAAACACTCAGTATTTTCAGTCTGCATGAAACTCTTTCAACGTTTTGCTCAAGTATTCCTCACTTACCTGTATTTCAATGGTCTTCAGCCTTGACTTCAACTTCTCATTCTCTTCTTGAAGTCTTAAAATTTCCTTTGTGAGTAAATTCAGGTTTCAGTAACACACAAATATTCTTAACACTTGAAATCATTTCACTTAAACTTTTAATCTTTAAACTAAACTTAAATCACACAGTTGCTTAAATATGTGCATGCCCTGGTGGGAACTCCCAACTTCGCCCAGCCCACCAACCTCAACACTTGTGAGTCATCTAGCTCTGAGACTTCTATTTCCTTCTCTCGGTCTTACACTCTCTTCATCCCTCACTTTCTCTTTCCAAAGCCCCTCTTCTCTGCTGCCTCCCACCTGACTGATACTGCAACTTTGGGGTCTATTTTGGCCTCCCACGCACACTGCCATATATCTTAAAAGCCCAATCTTCATTAGTTCAACACCTTGTGCCCATGCCGCTAAATGGTTCCACGCAGAGGTCAAACACTTGAACTTAAGCAGCTCTGCCACGAGAGTCACCTGTCAGTCAAGTCTTATTTCTTGCTATCCTCCAACACACGTCAGCCCAGTCAGAAAACATTGTACTCCGAGTCACGCCCTCTTCTTTCTGCGCCCTGCCTTCCATGGCCCCTTTCTCTTCCCTCTGACAAAAACTAATCTCTCTTGACCCTTCAGCCCCACTCAGGCACTGTTGTGTCCAAGAGCCTGTCCTCACTGCCCTCACTACCCCCACGTGGAATGTGTCTGTTACTCTAAGGCACCTGTGACAGAGATTAGGATCATCCTGTCAGTTTCTAGAATGTCAGTTCTCCCTTCCCAGTAAGACCATCTGGTTTTCAAAGGAAGAAGGGCAGATACTATACTGCTTTTAATCTAAAATGAAGTAGCATAATGTTGAGAATTACAGGAGTCATGAAAAAAAAGTCTGAATGTTGGTAATTTAGTCTTACAAACTTCGTAATAAAAAAATCCCTTCAGTGTTACCACAGATCATAAACCTCAACTCTCCATCCTCTTCACGTCACCATGAAAAGGTGTAGCCAGGCTGCTTTAGACCCTCTCCTGGCCCATCTGGATCATAAAGTAAAAGCTACTATGGCGGACACTTACTCTCAGGGGCCCAAAGCCTGAATCAACCTCCTCCCACCTCAGTTTCTCTCTCTCGGAGTAGTGCAGGGGTGAGCACAGAGTAAGAGGGTTTGCCATTTCTCAAAATGATGACATTACCTTGTTTAGGAGTTCTGCTGTGCCGCTTTCATTAAGTGGAGCAAGTTTTGGCTTTATGACTTCTATGATGGGCTGAAAGGAAAGAAACCAAACTGAACTCACCACAGAATACATCATGAGTAGTCACTGGACACTTGACTCTCTAAGTGGAAGACACTGTAAATATATCCACTGGGATGTCAGTGCTACAAGTGCAGTAATTTTTGATGGTTTGATTCTCTGCTTCCTCCTAGTGCCCAGGACAGTGCCTGGCCCACAGTGCCCAATATAAGCTAGAGATAAAAATGACAGCTGTCCTCCCCATATCTATTAAAAAATAATATAGATGAGAGGGGAAGGAGGGAAGAAAGGATGGAGGGAGGACATTCAAAGCCAGAACAGGTACAGATCCGAGCATCTAGGAGCTGGGATTTTAACCTGTGCGAGCTGAAATAGAGATTTCTGCATGAACCCCAGACTCTGAGAAAGATTGTAGTATTGAAGAGGATTTAGGCAATTACATTACAGTTGAAGAATAGGTTGGCCTGAATATTCTGGCAGTTTAGCAATAGGTATTAAAAACAAAAGAATCTACGTCCTCTGACTCCAAAATTTCTTAGCCAGAAATAAATCTCAAAGAAATCACTGGAAAATTGTTTGGTATGTCTACACACATGGATTGATTTCAGTGGCATTTAACCATACAACACCAGGGGCTATTCATGGTTCATCTGGCCAACGCAATGTTAAGCGGTCATTGTAAATAATGAGAATGATTAAAAAGAAAAGCAGGCAACTATTCTACTGTCTCCATTCGCTAGATGTGGAAAATGAGGCTCAGCCATCTCAGGTAACTCAGAGAGTGATAGAGCTAGGGTATGTGTACAGCGTTAATGGACCCCAAAACTTACCCTCTGCATCATTTCAGTGACGAGTTTATATGGCTGGAATTAGATGGATGGCAGAGATTGTATGCAAAATCACAAACGTGTGTGTGTGTGTGTGTGTGTCTGTGTGTGTGAGATATATTATAGTAGACAAAAAGTTACTTCTAAAACTTTTCTTCTTTGCCTGAAAGTCTAAGAGCAATTTGTGAATTGTGCTTTCAAGTCAAAATGCTTTTCCTTAAGAGTTTTCACTTTAACCTCTGAATGCTGAATGACTTGAGGATTTAAATACTGGGCATTAAGATATGGACTTAGAATGACCAAAAATTACCTTTTTATTTGAAGATGTAAATTCCGCTTTTTCAAATTCTGCAACTTGATCTAATAATTCTCTTGAAGATAAAAGCAAATATGAAAAAATATTATTTAAATAGATTTGCATCATATACAAGAATAAAATCACTGGTATCAAGCGATTATTACACACTAAAGAGAATAGAGCAAGATGGACAAAATTTGACCATATGAAAAATACATCAGTTAACTGATGCTCAAAAATCCAAACCATAGGAACTCAAATTGGAATCTTGCACAGTACCCATATTTTGCACTACTGGGTGTAAAGTTCTTATCTGTAAAATTTATTGCTAGAACCAAACTACAATGTTAATACTTATGCATTCATAGCCAACTTTTCATTTTTGAAGTTCTACTAGGAGATTGTTTTATTATATAATATACATTGGGAGCCAGTAGATGTTCAAGAAAGAAAATTTGATTTGTCTTTTATTTATTTTTAACTTTGAAAAAATTGTATTATCTTATACTGAGGTAACATTGGTTTATAAGCCTGTATGTGATATGATTTGCAGGGTTCACGCCTCTTCAGATGTATGTTGCCACACCACACCCACCAGCCAAACAGCCATAATCCACCACTACGGTCCACGGGGCCCCTTCCCCACCTTCCCTGTCTAGTTGCTTCAATTCTGAAGAAACTGGTTTTAACAGAGAAACCTCAGAAAAATGGAATTTGCTATTATTATCTACTGCAAAAGAGTATCACATCTGCTAAAAAAGAGCTTGATGTATTTTCAAGAAAGACAGATGGCTTAGGGTTAATTATTTTCTTTCATTTGCAAAGGTAAATGAGAGATGTCTAGGCAAAAGCTTACAGAATCACTGGGAGTAACTACTCTTCGAAGCTTCTTAGTAAGTCAGTTTCTCAAAGTTTTCTCCCCCATTACCTACTGACAGTTGGTGAAGTCAAATGTTTTACTTCCTTACTCACAGGTCACCCGCAGTGTGACTAAACACCCCCCAGGAGCTGATGTGCTGAGGCTGTGTTTAAAGACCAGCTCCCAGGGATTTGGGGGCCAGACTCGCCTCATTTCTGGTACGACTTTCCTTAGAATGAATTTCACTTTCACCAACTTTACCATACTTTTTGAAATTAATGAGCTCTTTGATATTGTTTAGATTATGTAACACTTCCTTTCTTTCCTTTTTAAAGACAAGCATATAGTTTCAAAGTTTATTTAGAAATAAACTTCTCTACCCTACTAGTCTGAACTGATGCTACTTTAATTAATTTTTAACTGTTCCATAATCTTTATTTCTTTATCTATTTCTAAAGATGTATTAGACTACCAATCAGATAACGCAGATGTGGAAAAGAAAAATTAATAATGGATTGAACAGCAATTTCATAAATCTTGAAGGCTCTTACAACAACTAAGTACAGCAGTAAGAGAATTCAGAAGAGGATGGTAAATGGCACCTAAGAGCTAAGTCACTAACCAGTTGCTCAGCTGCCACACAACCCAAATATTCTCTTGTGCCAGTCCCCCCAAAAGATGCTGCAAAGACATACATTAACTTTCAAGATCATGTTTGGGTCTCTACTGTCATAACTGTGGATACAGATTTATTACCTGTTTTCAAGTTCAGAGATGTCTGTCTGCAGTTTGAGGTACCATTTCTCAGCCTGTGAGAAAAGCTGCTGCAGGAGTAACACGTTGGTGTAGGCTGTGTTGATGAGCTCAGACTCCACTTCACTGTGGACCACGGCCTGTAACTCATTCAGCACCTCGGAGACTTCATCGATGGTGAAGGTCTCCTCCACCAGCCTGAAAAACAACCCCAATCCAAAGCCTCTGCGTGGGGCCACCCTGGTGGCGCAAGGAGTTATGATGCAACCTATGAAGCTGTCTGCAGCCACTGCAGCACAAGTTCGATCCCTGGCCAGGGAGATGACCCACAAGGCGCAGCAGACCTCTCTTGACTTGCCCGCTGCTCCCCTCAGCAATGTATTTCGGTGGGTCTGCCTGTTCTGCTCCCTACTCTGTCTCTGGTGAATCCTCTTACCCCACCCCCAACACACACACCTCTGGCCTGTACCCCAGTTCTTGTATGCATAAATAAATCTTAAAAAAAAACCAAAAAAAAAAACAAAACCTCTGCATTAACAGCAAAAGCTATTTGCAAAATAAAGCAAAAATAAAGAAAACCACACATGTCATCCAACGGATGAGAGGGTTACAAGTGGAAATCTCTCTGGGAGCTATCTTCATTAATAAAACAGACTGGAAATAATTTACGCTCAAATAATTTTTGATGTCTAGTCTAAAATTCAATTGTGGCTCGTTCTTCAAATATACACATCCTGTGGTACATATACACCATGGAATATTACTCAGCATTCAAAAAAGATAAACACATGCAATTCGCAGCAACATGGATGGCACTGAAAGGGATCATGCTCAGCGAAATAAGCCAGAAAGAAAAAGAAAAATACCGGATGGTCTCACTCATAGCAGGAATCTAGAAAACCTAAATAAGGGACCAGGAAAAAGAATAACTATGAGAAAGAAAATATCAAAATCAACAAACAACTATGAACCAGAGACACTCTATAGGGAGTGGGGGGCGGGAAAGGAGGGATTGGGGTCAAAATAAGGGGGTTGCAATTGTATGGGGAATATAAAAATAAAATTTTAATTAAAAAAACAAATATACACATCCTTTAATACAAGTAACATGTATCAGAAGCATTCTCTAGCTGCCTTTTTCTTCAATTTTTTACTTAGAATTTTTTTCACTCTAAAGTAGTCTCATCACATTTAGTAAAGTCATATTTCAAAAGTCACCTGAAAGGTATAATTTCTCCTTTTTCTATTATTTCTGTAGCATTTTAAGACCTTCTTAAACTATTCATGTTAATAAATACCTATGAGTCAATGAACAGTAAACATATATTGCTTCTCTTAGCATTCTTGAGACCTCCCAAAGGGGAAAAAATACTCATCTTAGTTAAAGTTCCATTGCCCAATGAGCACTCAAAAAAAGAAAAAAGAAAGAAAATCAATTATGGTATTAGAAATTCACTCTCACAGAGAGAAAGTCTGAGTTGGGAGGGAACTTCAGAGCAGTCTTCCTTAATCCCCTCACTTTACAGAAGGGAACAGGGAGGACTGACATACCCACCGCCCGGTTGGGGGCCACTCAATCCCATAATCATTTCCAGCACTCTCAGCACATGTCCAGCAGCTGACTCAAGCTAACAGTATTTGATTTACTTCTTCCTTCCTTTTCCTTCCTTTTCCTTCCCTTCCTTGCCCTCCCACCCTCCCTCCCTCCCTCCCCTCCCTCCCTTCCTTCCAAGATTTATTTATTTTTATGCATATAAGAACTGGGGTACAGGCCAGAAGTGTGGGAGGTAAGAAGATTCAGCAAAGACAGAGCGGGGAACAGAACAGGCAGACCAAGTGAAATACACTGCTGAGGGGAGCAGCGTGCGAGTCAGGGGAGGTCTGCTGCACCATGTGGGTTGCTCCCTGGAGGGCCAGGGATCGAACTAGTGCTGCAGAGGCTGCAGACAGTTTCATAGGTTGCGTCTTAACTCCTGTGCCACCCGGGAGGTCCCTGATTTACTATTCTTTAATGAAAAATTTAGTCCCTCTAAAAAACCCAAAACTTTTAACTATTTTTGTTGAAAGTTCTTATTGAATGTATTAATGAGGTTGCTATAGTCTTTAACAGAGCATATCAAAATTGCTTAAACCTCTTTTTGGGCAGCCCAAGTTGTTATTATGAACAGCAGTTAAGGTACTTGGATGCAGAGTGAGTAATGAAGTACATTCTCTAGTGCTCTCACATCTTGCCAATTAAACTGCTTTTATCTGCTGGGGTCAGGAAACCAGATGATTTAGACTAGTGGGTTAAAGAGACACCATCCACAGCTGATGGTCTCTGCTGCCGAGCCAAGTTCATGGCTTTATGACAGGTAGATGTCTTGTGCAGGCCTTTTTCACTGACATCTTACATGACACTTAAGTGGCCAATATCTGATGCCCAAGTAATCTCATGTCTCATTATTTAGCCTTTTTCTTTGGTTTTCTCTTCATCCTCTAGATAAAACATACATTATCTGTAGACGTCAGTTATCTTCCATTACTGGTCCAACCAAACTAATTATCATCTCCTGCTGCTCATCGGAACTAGTCAGCAAGCTTTTCATGGTTTCTTGCTGTTTTCCCCTCTCTTAATTCTGCAATATATACTGCCTAAGTGTTTTCTTGCTAATAGCCACGTCTTGTAGCTCTAATCTTTTAATTAATAACTCAAGTAATTAAAGATCTAGAATCTTTAATACAGAGTAAGCCAATCATTCACCCACATGGACTTCAATTTCCCGACTGCCTTTCTGAAACTCTGGATTCCCCTAATTATCACAGGGGCGTGCTTGATAATAGATGGCTCCTACCACAGTCCGACTTCTTGGATATTTCTGAGTTTCACATATCACGGGGCTCAGTGGAGCTGCTCTTAGTGAATAACAGGCCGTGACAATACGGGTATGGTTGCAGGGCCTGTGACTGCATCCCCACACTGGCTACCAGAAAGGACGGATGCATGTTCCCTTTAGAGGGCTTCTTTAGATTCTTCACATACCTGCTCTCCTTGAGGTCTTGGAAGCAAGAATCTACAGTTTTGAGTCTCAAGCTTCTTTTTGAACGAGCAAAACGCATATAATTAATAACTTCATTTTGATGGTGCTCATTTAGGCCCAACTCTGCCTGGAAGAGAGAGAATAATCTGTTAGTCTTGACGATGTGTTAAAGGAACCAGTGATGAAAATATACAGAATACCCTATGGTAGAAACTAGATGGCCACCTGTAGGGACAGGAACAGGGCACTGAGCAGGTTTTCTGATCCAGCAGACTGGGGAAAGGAGGAGTCAGAGCCCTCAGTGGCTTTTGTAGGTCTTTTATTTAGATATCCCAGGCATCTGGCAGTCCTCCCAGCCCCCAGCAAATCCTCACTCTATCTGGGCTCTCTCTGGCGTTCTCTCTGCTTCTCTTCTCTCGGCTTCCGTTCGCTCTTGGCTTCTTCCGGCGTCCCCATGACGCCGCCCTTATGAACTCAGTCTCTCAGCCCAGGTGTACCCACTTCAGGTGCCCGCCATCAGGCATGCATTCAGGACCACAGGGTTCCCTCATCTATCCTAATGGCGGGGGCGGGGGGCAGAAAAGCCTGATACTTTTTACCTTACTGTAGAGGCAGAAGGACCACTGACCAGGTTTTCTAGGATCCAGCAGGCCAGGTAAAGAAGGAGTCACAGTCCTCAGTGGTTTTTGCAGGTCCTTTATTGGGATTTACCTGGTACACAGCAAGGGTGTGGTGGGTGCTGGTGCAAGGGTGCTGGTGGGCCGGGAGGCTGGCAGGCCTCACAGCCCCCAGCAAGTCTTCACTCTATCTGGGCTCTCTGGCGTTCTCTGCTTCTTTCTCGGCTTTTGTTCCTTCTTGGCTTCTTCTCGGCTTCTACTGGTGTCCCCATGACGCCGCCCTTAAAAGTACAGTCTTAGCCCAGGTGAATCCCCTCTACCTATGCCCACACCCTACTCCAGGTGCCCGCCATCAGGGAACATTCAGCAAGGATCCATCATCTCTCCTGATGGCGGGAGGGCAGAAAAGCCTGACATTTTTCCTTACCCTACACTTACCCTACACCACCAAATTCAGTTCACCTCTTCAAGGTACAGTCACCCATTTGAGGATACCTCCCGGCAATACTTGCAGTCAGGTGAGGCCATGTGCCTACTTCCCAGTAACTGATGTGAGCCTGGGCGGACCTTTGCCACAGCCTGTTTCTGAGATCTGGAGGAGGAGGCAACTTGGCTGAACCAAGCTCAGAACAACTCAACCCTAGGGGTGGGAGGAGTAGTACAATGAAAGGGGTCTGTATCCCTCACTGAACTCAGGGAGCAGCACCGCCCCCCTCACATACCTAACTGAGATGAATGATGAGATGGTTGTTGATGAGTGACATAAACTTTTGTATTCTTTAATCCACAGTTTTTGGGTTTATTTTTGAATTTGTTGCAACTTAAGTTTACTCCATTTAATACAACTCTAATATATTTGGTTTTTGTAGGGTCAGGAATGGGCACTGAGCAGGTTTTCTAGGATCCAGCAGACCGGGTAAAGGAGGAGTCAGAGGCCTCAGTGTTTTTTACAGGTCTTTTATTTAGATTTACCAGGCACATGGCAGGCAGGGGTGCTGGGGGGCCGGGAGGCTCACAGTCCTCCCAGCCCCCAGCAAGTCTTCACTCTATCTGGGCTCTCTAGCGTTCTTTCTGCTTCTATTCTTCTCTCAGCTTCTGTTTGTTCTACTTCTGTCTTGGCTTCGGCTTCTACTGGCGTCCTCATGACGCCACCCTTAAAAGCCCAGTCTTAGCCCAGGTGAATCCTATCTATATATGCCCACACCCTACTCCAGGTGTCCGCTATCAGGCATGCATTCAGGACTGCAAGGATCCATCATCTATCCTGATGGCGGGAGGGCAGAAAAGCCTGACATTTTTTCCTTACCCTACAGTCTACCCCCTCAGGGTTTTCTGCCATATAGTCTTTATCAGTTTCTATATACAAGTCATAAACACATGTCTCCTGGCAATATGAACACTGTAGCCATGGCCCTCAAAAGCAATTGAAATATATCACAATGTAACAAAATACAATAGAACACAAATAAGTCCAGGCAGGTCACCAACCTAGTGGCAAAAGACAATTATTGGTACCAGATGATCCACCACTTCTGCTGCTGAAGGCACTGCTCATACAAGGGAGGGGAAATCACTCGACATCTCTGTCACATGCCAGGAGCCGTCAGGCTTCCTGACCTTCTCTGGCTGTGGTCTTGGCCACAAACCACACACCACATTCACCTCCAGGATGCACTCACTCCTGGATTGGGGATTCTCTACTCTTTGGGGGTAATCGCCCAACCCTCAGGGTTTGTGTCTGCGGTCACTCCAACACTTGGCTTTCATAGCCACCAATGTGACACACAGACCCCTGCACTCAGGCCAACTCATTGCACAAGCACATGGGTCGGGGATCCTTGGATACAAACTCTACATTCAGCTTGGGCTCCACCCCAAGCCACGTTCCCCACCTGTCCCCCAAGGACGGATTCCTCAGCTCCTCACCCTCACTTGACAACAAGCAGGGCATCACCCACAGGTGATTTTACGAGACTCACTGGGCTTCTTCAGCTTACTTAGTGCTTAGCAGCCACTCAGGGTTTCCCAAGCTTAGCATCAGTACCAGCTTTTGCCTTCTCAAAATTGGCTTTTTTCCTCTGCCTAGCTGCTGGGCATACACAGGCTGCTTTTGGCCATCAAGGCCTACTGGCCACCCCCAGATTCTTATCTCCTGGGGTGTACAAACAATAGCATTCTCCCCCAGGGTCCCAAAAACTTAACTTGCAAAGTTCCTCCGCCTTTTGGAGGGATTGTCAGTCCAAATCCATCAGTCAAAGTCCATCAGTCCAAGTCCATTAGGCTTCTTCCTTGTGTCAGCACTGGCAAGCTCTGAATTGTGGTCCTCTTTCTTTCCCCAAAGATTCTGCTGCCTCGGTGGTCTTGGGCTGGTCCTCTTGGGCATCTCCTGCAGGCGAGGTCTCATCCCACAGCTCCCGGACCTTGTCCATCTCCTGTGCTGCCATGACGCCTCCAGCGTTGTCACAGGCAAACACAGTCTGTTACTCCTTAGTACCTCCAGGTCTTTGGAGGGCTCCATACCTGTCTGCATGGATCATCCTGCCAACTACGCCAATTGTAGGGGCAGGATTGGACACAGTGCAGGTTTTCTGATCCAGTAGATGGGGTAAAGGAGGAGTCCTGGAGCTCTCAGTGGCTTTTGCAGGTCTTTTATTTATTTAGATTTACCAGGCATATGGCAGGCAAGGGTGCTAGGGGGCTGGGAGGCTGGTAGTCCTCCCAACCCCCAGCAAGTCTTCACTCTATCTGGGCTCTCTGGTGTTCTTTCTGCTTCTCTTCTTCTCTTGGCTTCTGCTTATTCTACTTCTGTCTAGGCTTTGGCTTCCACTGGCGTCCTCATGATGCCACCCTTAAAAGCCCAGTCTTAGCCCAGGTGACTCCTATCTACATATGCCCACACCCTATTCCATGTGTCCGCCATCAGGCATGCATTCAAGACCGCAAGGATCCATCATCTATCCTAATGGTGGGAGGGCAGAAAAGCCTGACATTTTTCCTTACCCTACAGTTTTGAATAGCCATTAATTGGTCTTTATTTTAAATCATTTGAGAGCTTGATAACTATGAGTTAGAAATTAGCAATGTTCTTTCTCATTTTGTAGAAACACTGAAAAGAAACAAATGACAGCAGCTAACGGAGGGAACTAAGTAAGTCAGAATTATCTTTACATTAAGAATAACACTGGTTCATAGCCTTTTTGTAGGAGATAAAGGCCTAACTTCCAAGCCTCCTGTTCAGGCTTAGCTCTAACTCAGCACAGGGGGCTGCCTCTGACACTGTGGAGGCCTCACCAAGTATTTTTTCCCTGACAGTGTTTTTAATATGTTTAGATGTCAAAGTTTAAAAATTTAAGAATTATGCAAGATATCATGATGCTCTTTAGTGTTTATTTATCTAGCAGACTCATGTTTCAAAACAACCAGTTGACATATTCTGCCCAATGTGAACTGACATATCTGAGGTATGCACTTACCTTAAATTCCATGACTCTGCCTTATATGATTAATCTGGTAATTAATATTTCACCTTAGAGGCTAGACAACATGAAAGGAAAATTTTTCTTATGTTTTAGTTTACACTGATTATTATCAACTCTTTGAATTAATGTCAAACATTAGAAATAACAGTAATGATTAACAGTTAAGTCATTCAAAGGTTATAATGTGCCAGGAATAAGCTCCTTTAATTCTCAATGCAATCCTATGAATGAGGTAATATCATTTCTAATTTAAAGACAGAAAACTAAAGTGTAGAGAGGAAGTTTTTCCTCAAATACTGAAATGGTAAGTGGAAAGCAGGGATCTGAACCAGACAATTGAACTCCAGAGCCCACACTCAACCCTGCTGTTTCAAATCTTTTTTTGGAATACGGCAGAATTTATAGGTAAGACCATCCCACAACTGAGAAATGCCTAAAACAATGGCGCAATGTTAAAAAAAAAAAAAAAAAGCCATAAACAGAAATTCTCACTCATTCTTCACTGTTTTAAGTAGGACATCTATGCCTACCAGCCCTCCAAACTCCTCAAACCAACCCTGTTTTCCAGGACTCTAATGCAAAAAAACATTTCTAAAGTATGATAACATTTCCTGGCTCTGTTTTCGCTCTTGTTATCCTGATCCTGGCCTAAAAGCACTTTTCCATTCCTATTCAAGAATCCAAATCCTGCCCAATGGTGTGCTGGCAAATGTTTAACAGGTTGGGGGAGGAAGTTTGAAATACTGATTTGTAGCCCTTGTTTATTTTTATGGTGAAAATGCTTTCACCACAGCTGATTTCAAGGTACCAATATAATGTCACTGAGCAGAGGTGAGAAGAAACAGATACAACTGGCTCTCATTAGCCAGTACAAGGATGCTCCAGGACACCCTTCAAGGCCAAACTTGTTTTACAGCCCTGGTGAAGCCTCCCAATATACCCTCCATAAGTCTAGTATATGCCTCCCTCTAAAAACTAGTATATAGCATTTCTGCTACTAATTTGGTACCAATACAGACTGAGCACTACCTTATACTAACTTTTTGTTTTCAGGTGTTGTATCTCCAACTAGACTGTAAGCTCCCAAGGGCATGAATCATTTTGTAAGCTACATTGCTCCTATATAATGTTTTGTGCAGGTGTTCAGTTCATATCTGTTAATTCGTATCAATTCATAACAATTCATATTTGTTCTTGTGTGAAGAAAAGTTAAGATTGTCCTAAGACCAAGAACTTACTCAAATTGAGAAAGAAGATCTTTAAGACCAAAGACAGAGAAGTTCCTTTAAAGTGGATGCGAGTGTAGAAAGGGAGCAAAAATGGGCAGCTAAGTTTATTAGGAGAAGTAGTGCCAGCCCAGGAAAGGGTGTTCACAAACCTTTGCTTCCCCACACACCTGCATACGATATGTGCACAGGTCAAGTCATTAGCAAAAAAAAGAAAAAGGCTGATGTGTGATATAAGTAGACAAAGCATTGGACTAAAAACCAAGTCTAGCTATACAACTGTTACCACGTCACTTAAGTTCATTGACATCATCTGTTAAATTAGAGATCTATATGATCTCTAAATTATTTAAATTCAGTGGGAGCTATCTAAAAAGTGAAAGCAAAATTTAATTTCTTGAGAAATAACTTGTTAATAAAACAATAAAGAATTAAAAACGCAGGTCAAGAATCCTCCCAAAGCACTGCCAAGCATTCTCTTAGAAGGAGAATGAAGTTATCAAAAATAGTTTCTTGTTTCTGACTATGCCCCTAAAATCCATATCCTATGATAAATAAAAGAAAATGCAGTATATTGAGTTCTTAGTATTTTATACTGAGTTCTTACATATATTGTATATATATTGAGCTATTATATATTGAGTTATTATATATTATATATTATATTATATATTGAGTTCTTAGTATTTTAACAGGCACTGTGCTATTTTATATGCATTATTTCATTTATCGTTTTAACAACCCTATCTCAACTATCTGCAATCTACTAAAGAAACTCAGCCTGACTCCAAAGACTCAGCTGTGAAGCAAATTACAGGAAGACAGAACAGAAACAGTGTCAATTTTTCGCTAACATTACCATCACCGTTTTTCAACTTGTTCTTGATCTTTTACAAAAGTCAAGAGAATGAGTAGGTCAACTTCTAAGTTCAAAGAAAGTAGGAACCGATCTATTTTGTTCACAGCTGTACCCTCAGTAGCAAGAGAGTGCCTGGAACATAATGCGGAATTCTGGTTACCAGGGTAGTCAGTAGCCCATTTCAGTGACGTCTCCAAATCCTGGTTGCCTTCCTTTTCTGAACACTTCCATATTGTGCACTATTCTAAGTAAAATTGCTATTTACGTTGATATTGCTATATCAGTGTAAAAGATTAAGCGAATGTGTTTTCAGCATACAGGGAAAGCTGGCCTTTTGGGGAGAGAGAGGGTGTATGTGTGTGTGTGGTGTGTGTGTGTGTGCGCGCGCGCGCGCCGGTTTAAGAGAGAGACAGAGAGAGAAAGAGAGAGAGGTGTGTGTGTTTGCCGGTTTCCCCCAGCTCTCTCCTCACCAGCCCCCACCGACGAGTGACTTGGCCAGGTCATCCCTGGCAGGGTGGTGAGGGATGAAGGGATGTGGCACTCTCCGAAGAGAGGGGGGTTACCTAGGACTATCCCGGAGTTAACGAAGTTAACCGACAGGGCCTCCCCTCCTCAGGGAGGCCTAGGAGCAGGCGCCCACCCACTGCAGGCCACGCCATCACTCCGGCCACCCCGCTCCGGGTCTCTAGTCCCGGCCGCTGTCCTCTGCTCGGCGAGATGTGACGCCAGCGAGCCGGCTACTCACCATGGTGGCGGGCGGAGGTCAGCAGCCTAGAGAGCAGGAGAGGCCGGGTAGAGCCTCGCCAAAGCCGGGATCGTTGAGGGTGGCTGGATCTTAGAAGATGAGCAGGGCGGGCGGGTTGTTTAGAAGCCTCCGGTTGCTAATGGGAACGGAAGCACGTGACCCAGAGTTATGCGCTTTCATTGGTCTTTATGATCACGCGACAGGAAGTTCACTTCAGCCGACGGACTGCCGCAGGCGCATTGGCTCCCAAGGTCAGGAAGTCCCGCCTTCCGCGCCACGCAGACTGTGGCTGGAGGGCGGGGCCACTGTTGTCAACGGCAACGAAGGGGGCGGGCACTAGAGAGGCGTCCCTACTTGGCCCGGGAAAGTAGGCATTGCCAGCTCTGCCAGGTTCCTGGGTAGAGCTCTACCTACCCTCACTCTGTATCCCGCCATTTTGTTTTCTCATATATTCCTGGTGAAAATAATCTCATTTATACCGTTACCCTTAAAACATAAAAAAGTGGGCCTCCCTGGTGGCTCAAGGGGTTAAGCACTACGCTGTGAAGCAATCCGCAGCCTCTGCAGCACGAGTTCAATCCCCGGCCGGCCAGGGAGCAACCCACTTGGCGCAGCAGACCTCTCCTGACTCGCTCGCTGTTCCCCTCAGCAGTGTATTTCAGTCAGTCTGCCTGTTCTGTTCCCCGCTCTGTCTCTGGTGAATCCTCTCACCCTCCCACATCTCTGGCCTGTACCCCAGCTCTTGTATGCGTAAATAAATAAATCTTTAAATATATATATATATAAAAGTGACAGGCGGAGTCAGTGAAAGATCAGTGTTCAAACTATTAGGCCTAGAATCACCAGGGAAGCTTGTTCAACAAATGCCTTCTTGGCTTTGTTAGGGGGAAAAGGATGTCCCAAAGCAAATTCCATATAGGCTTTGTGGACTCCACCCCCACCCCAGGTCAAAGCCAAAGACACTGGGAACTCCAAATCCCATCACCACCAAAGGGAAGGTGGCTGGGACCTGAGGGTGGCGTTAAGCAGCCAGGTGGATACAAAAGGCAGACACGTGGGCTTTGGGGATCCCCCATTTTGGCTCTCCACCAGCTCGAATCGTCAGGCCAGCTCTGAGAGTGACTTTGGGTTTCCAGGTCGTCGGATCGGGTAGGACGCATTAAAGACTTTATTTCCCTATTTTCTCCCTGAGTTGTACATTTTCCTTATTTCTTTTTCTCTTGTAAATAAACCTTTTATTAACCCTTTTGTGTGTGTCTGTAGTAGAGTATTCATAAGTCCCTTTAAAGCGCGCGGGTGAGGACCCACAGCCAGGAACCCGTTTAATATCGGGGTTGCTCTATAACAGCTTCACCCTCATAAATATTAAACCACAAAGTCTAGATAGGGTACTTGGAATCTGCAGTTTTTTAGTTTTTGTTTTTTAAAGATTTATTTATTTGTTTATACAAGCACTGGGTACAGTCAGAAGCACAGGAGGGTGAGAGAATTCACTAGAGCCAGAGGGGAGAGTAGAGCAGGCAGACTGGCGAAATACACTGCTGAGGGGAGCAGTGGGCAACAGGAGAGGTCTGCGGGCCCTGTGGGACCCTCTCTGGTGGCCGGGGATCCAACCGGTGCTGCAGAGGCTGCAGGCAGCTTCGCAGCCCAGCTCTCAACCGCTGCACCACCAGTGGAGGCCCGGAATCTGCAGTTTTCACCCACCACCCAGGAGTGGTCACTGTTTTAGGAGAGGCAAAAGTGTAGGATGAGATATTTTTTGCAAGTACCTGGGGCTTGGGAGTGGGTGGATGAAAGTTATTGGGTGGTCATAGGCCATTGGGTGGGCATTTCAGCAGGCTTAGAAGACGAACATTAGCCAGATACAATTACTGAAGAGGTGATGTGTAAGCTAAAAAGTGCGCGGGTAAACACTGAAACAAGACAGTGCCAAGGGGGTGCTTCTGAGAATCTAGGAAGTCTTCAAACCTAGAAGAGGATATTTGGCGTTAGCTGTGACTCATGAATAAATAAATAATGCTTTTTGAGTTTATACTGATTTTGGCCACGACACTTAAAATGGATCATAATTTTGATGTAAGATTCTAGAGGGGATTTTAGACACCTGGTTTCAACTGCTTAATTTATGGGTGAAGAGAGTGTGCCAAGGTCACATGTAACTTCCAAGAATTCAGAACTAGGTGGGTGTATCTGTGATGAAACTAAAGCAAATAACGTTTTCAAGAGCAAAACCAGAAAGCAGGTGTTACCTATTCTGGTACAGGAGTGTTATATCATTCTGGTTTCAAGAATTTCATTTTCTTTTCATTTATCGCCATATTCACTGCAGTCAATGTAAGTGATATATATACCAAATAATGTAGAAAGCTTAGTAGTTGTCTCATGAACTGAGCTCAGTACTTTTAAAAATAAACTTGAAACTTTAAATGGTAGAACAAAGTGGTAACAGATAAATTCTATAGAAGTTATTCTGTAGAACAAAGGGAAAAAGGTGCAGCAATGGAAACATGTTGGTAAGTTAAGTGGTCAGATGGTCAAATGGAAATAATTAAAACAATTTCAGATCAAGAAATAACTAGAAGGAAACACTTTCAGATGGGGAAAGATAGCTTAGAAAAGGATCTTGTGTAGTAACAGGTAGCAAAACCAAATCTGAAATCCAAATTTCATTATTGCTGCATATTTTTTACCATTTAGCCCCACCCAAATGCAAATAATACAGCTTGCTCTTCTAAATTTATACCCACCCCTCCAAAGGTAAGGCCCCTTACACTCATTTTAGGGATGCTTAGAAATGTCCCATGGTGTTGAAAAGCAGGGGGAGAGAGTTTTCCAGTTTGGATGAGGTTTGGCAGTCTTAGGTCATCATCAGGAGTCCTTTGCTTGATGATCCAGGAATGACAGGCAGGCAGTTGCCTGTGGTGGGATCACAATCATGAGGAGACAAACACAACTGAAAAGTTTTCCCTGTGTGTGACCGGAGCACTCCCAGACATAGAAGGATGGTCTGGGGTTATTGGCTCGATTGCGCCCAACTTCCTTTGGCCTCCCAGTATCATCAGGACAAAATCTCTCTCTCCCTGCAAGTTCCTGCAAGGTTGAATGTTCTCACTCCACCCGGCTCATAACCTCCCTCCAAGCTCAATTAAATATCTACCATGCCATCTTTCACATTTCTGATAAGTGTTGAATTAGACAATTATTATGTTGTGCAGTATTCAGTTCTGATTATGAGCTAGACATAGTCTGTTCCAAAATTTAAGTCTCACAATCTTTGCTTCTGTCTTACAAGAGATACTGAGTTCACATACAGAGAAAGTCACTTTACTAGGTGTTGTGCATGCAAGATAAAGGAATTTCATACACTTATATGAGACTCAAACAATTGTGCTCCTCAGTTTGTAGTTCTGTTTTCCCACAGGCAAACCCTGTGCTTGCTAAGGGTTATTAGTGCAGGGGGACTAAGGAGTGGGTGGATAATGCAACTATTTAATTTACGACTATGTGGCTTGGGGATTTTTAAAGTTATTCTCTAAAGCTTCATCAGCAAGTTCTATTAATTTAAAATTCTATTCTAATCTAAAATCTTCTGTACCAAGGATGTTATAATATCACTGTTAGCTAATCTACCCAGCTGAGTTGAATGTTGTTACATAAGCTGTCTAAATAGTGTCAGCAAATATGAACATGTATTTTTTATCTTAAATTGATGAATTTGGCTCATGAAAAGGCTGAACTTGTGCTTTGGGTTGTTTACTAGCTTGGGTTGATTACTAAAACAAACAGTTCGAGCTGTGAGGGAGAGCAGCTCCACCCAGCTTTAATAGTGAGCTTCTCAGTCTGAAAAAAATGGCTCTGACAATTTAAAATACATGTGTGTATTTAAATTTGGGAGGATTGAATGGGAGGCATGCAAAGGAATCCATTGTATACCTTTTAGTGTAGTTTAACACAAATAAAACAAAGAAGGAAACACTTTCAATCTAACTATCTTTTAAATTATTTCAAAATGAGAACTCTTATGTGTTTAAAAATTACTGGCCATTAACACTGGGGCCAATTTCAGGAGGTTTGCAGTCTAGACAAGGCATAAAAAAAATTGGGATGGCGATCATGGGCTTCTTAGCAATTTTGAGAGATGTTCTGCCACTGCTCCACTTCCCGCCCCCGCCAAATGACTGAGTCAGATTCTGTGGCCACCATCATGAGAATCTGTGGGGAGAAGTGGAGGGATTCAGGAAGCCCCAGTTTCCCCTGCTCTATAGATCTTTCGGTGAGGGGTTTGGGTGGGTGAGATTAAGGTGAAATTTTACTTAAATAAAAAGAGAAAGTAATAAAATGGTTAAGTAAAAGATAACATAGATGGTGCAGAAAATGCAAAAATCTTGAAGGTTATATGGGAAAGGAAAGTCTGAGAAACATTGAACTGGGGGTGAGTGGCAAGTGGTTAGGAGAAAAACATTTTATGGGCTTTTCTTAAAGATTTAGAGTCTTTGGAGTATGTCTTTTTGCATGTAATACTACCAGGGTCCTCTCTAGCTTCCCCAACTCTGCAGTTAAAACTAGGAAAGCAGTCAAGACTTTAAAGGGAAGAAGCTAGGATCAAAAAAGTTTCCACAGGAGCTATGACATTTGATTGGGTCTCAAGTGCAAGAGGCTATTTTTCAGTTCTGCTATTTGCTCCCATTTGCAGAATGCTCCAGTGACCATCAGTGTTGGCGGTGCTGACAAATTAGATTAGTGAAATTGCTATATGTGCTTTAAAGGAGGTCAAGGAAGTGGTTCACCATAAAATACTACAACTCCCTTTAAGATTGTGTGGATGACGGCAATTTCTTAGCCCAAATGATAGATTAGTTTCACTGATAAATCCCCATACAATAAAACACCCCAAAGGAAACAAACACCAAAACCATCAACCATCAAGAAGTTACATCTACTTCATAAACTGTTAGGCATTGGTTGTGGGTATACCTTCCTGTAAAGTGCCAGAAAAATTAATTGTGAATATGATGACCAGCTCTGAGTCCTTGTTCCACATTCCCATGTAAACAGATACATTTGAGTTAAAGCACAAGCTTTGCTCTTGTGTTCATGGAAGGCGGGACACACAAGAAAAACTGGGGAAGGGAACAATGAAGAAGATGGGATTTGTCCCTTCCCAGCATGACCTTATATCCAAGTCAAGGGA